TAGATTGACGAACCATAAAGCGACCACAACAAATCAATAAACAAAACCAAAAACAAACAAAAAATAAAAACAATAACATGAATGGAAAACGCAACAACGTGATGAACATTTTTACAACATAAATATAAATGCGGATGGCGGGCGTTTGGCGAAGGGGTCAAGATCAAGTGCGCGAGCGTTAAACGTTAACTAAATATTAATGGTATGCATTTTATTTGGAGTAGATTTGATTTAGATTGAGTAGGCTTGTGATAAGGTAATTAAGAGGCGTAATGGAAATAGGAAAAAGGGCTTTATTTTTAAACCCTTAGTCATGGGGTTAATGAGGATAAACAGGGTGAGATAAAAAAACTGCAACAAAGTCAAACGCCATAATTTTTACATTTTTTTTTGAAGTTTTATTGAATGAGAGCAAAAAATTTCGGAAATAGCATCAAATTTTAGAATAAGTTTAGATTTGTTAGAATTGGTCACCTTTGGAACGAATTATGGCCTTCAAATGGCCAATGAAACAGTCATACGCTGCCCGAATGTTGCTATTGGGTATTTTGGCCCATTCCCGGTGAAAAGCTTGCTTGAGGTGATCGACACTTTGGTATTTTTTAGTGCCAACCTTGCTGTCGAAAACCATTCTTGGTTGGCGACTGCTGAGTGCGATGGCGCTGAGTCCTGTTGGTATGTCCAAAATCTGTGGCCAAAATGTTTGCGCGCCCAAGGCTATAATACACCCTCCAGAATATTTTCGCGATAATATTCGGCATTTATTCTGATGCCACGGTCAATTAATACGAGCAGAGAGCGATCATCGGCTGTTATGGCGGCCCACACTATCACCATAGCCGGCGCTTGAGTTCTGGTGGCCAACCGAAGGTGCACATTTTTAGCTGACCTCTTTGGCAAGTAAACACGATCATTTTGTTTGTTCACAAACTGCTGGACTACGAATGTTTTCTCATTCGACATCTGTTCGACAGTCCTACTGGTACCTACCTCAAAAAAATTTTAAATTCTTCAAAAAAAAAAAAAAACAAGTTGAAGTTGAGGTTTGAATGGAATCACTGGCTTGTTTCATACGTTTCGGAGATTTAAAAATTTAAAATTGTGATCGATTATGGGGGAGGTAAACACAAGAGGTAGGCCGATATGTATCATCTTCACACCATATCCTGTGTTAACAGAAATATTAGGATGTGTGGAATTTTAAGAGAGTCGGATGCTTATTTCACTTTTTATGAGAGATATAATTATTCAAAATTTTGACCCTTTGTGGGAGAGGTACCAGAAGGTATGGTCTGATTTCTATCATATTTATAACAGGTCTTGTGTTGATGGAAATACTGAGATGCACCAAGTCTAAACGGAATGGGAATATTAATTTCGCGTTTTATGAGCTTCATGGGTATTCAAAATTTTGACCGTTTGTGGGGGAGGTACCAGAAAGAGTGGACCTATATATTCCATCTTCACTGAAGATCTTGTGTTAGTAGAAATAATGGAATGTATGAAATTTGAAGAGAACCGGAAGCCTATTTCGGATTTTATGCTCGTTTTAGTTATTCAAAAATTTGACCCTTTGGGTGGAGGTACAAGAAGGAATGGTCCGATCTCTGCCATCTTTATAAAAAATCTTGTTTTGATGGAAGTATTGAGATGTACCAAGTTTGAATGGAATCGGATGTCAATTTCGCGTTTTATAGACTTCATGGATATTCGAAATTTTGACCCTTTGTGGGGAGAAGTACCAGAAGGAGTGCGCCGATATATCCCATCTTCACGGCAGATCAAGTGCTAGAAGAAATAATGGAATGTAGGAAATTTGAAGAGAATCGGATACCTATTCCGGATTTTATGCTCGTTTTAGTTATTCAAAAATTTGACCCTTTCTAGGGGAGGTACAAGAAAGAATGGTCCGATCTCTACTATCTTTATAAAAGATCTTGTGTTGAAAGAAATATTGAGATGTACCAAGTCTGATTGGAATCTTATGTTAATTGAGCGTTTTATTAGCTTCATAGATATTCAAAAATTTTGACCCTTTGTGGGGGGGAGGTACCAGAAGGAGTGGACCGATATGTCAATATGTATAGCGATCGGGCTACCATCTTTATAACAGATATTGATGGAAATATTAAGATGTACCAAGTCTGAATGGAATCGGATGTTAATTTCGCGTTTTATGAGCTTCATGGATATTCAAAATTTTGACCCTTTGTGGGGGAAGTACCAGAAGGAGTGGACCGACATTTTCCATCTTCACATCAGATCTTGGGTTACTACAAATATTTTGATGTGTGTAATTTGAAGGCAATCGGACTCTTACATCACATATTATAAGAGTTATGATTATTCCAAATTTTGACCCTTTGTGGTGGGGGTACTGACCTAGCACAGACGCAAAAATTAGGATTTGCAAAGTTGGATCAAAATTGGATAATCCTTTCTCTTTCTGTGCAGTAAAATATTGTTTTTTTATTTTATTTTATTTATTTTTTTTTTTTTTTGAAAACTTCGACCTTTTATGGGGAAGGTGTCAGAAGCAGTGGACCGATATTGCACATCTCAGAACTCCATCTAAGTTTGATACTAATATTACGATGTACCAAGTTTGGACCAAATCGGATACTCCCTTCGAGAGTTATCGTGCGCACCAACCAGACAGATGGAAAGACGGACACCTCTAGATCGACTCCAAATGTCCTGAAACGGATTTGGTCCAAAGAGACCTAGGGTGTAAAACCGTTATTTCGATGAGGCATGATTTGATTTGGAAGATCTGTAGAAAGTCTTTTGTATAAATAAGACCTCTACCGTAACTAGCCATATGGCTGAGGTTATAAGAAGGTGTAGAGGTCTTATTAATACAGAAGACCTTTACAGATCTTCGATTAAATTCAAACAGGAAAGTGTCGATAAAATAGTCTTTTAAAGACCAAAGATCGTCTTCACAGACCTATTGCAGATCTGGAAGTCCTTATACAGGTCTTCAGCAGCTACATATTTTTTTATACCCTACACCACAAGGTGGTCAGGGTATTATGTCTTTGTGCAATTGTTTGTAACAGGCAAAAGGAAACGAGATAGACCCATAGTTCCTTTTGATGATCTGCATAGAATCACTTTCTAAGTTGATTTATGCATGTCAGTCCGTCTGTCAATGTATTCTTGTGAACAAAATGCAGGTCGCATTTATTATCCGATTGAGATGAAATTTTCCAAACAACATTTGTTTGGCCCAAGGACGAACCCTATTGAAATTGGAGATAATCGGTAAAAATTTAGATATAGCTCCCATATATATCTTCGTCCGATTTGCCTTTTATTGTGCACCAAACGTGTAATATCAGCACGAATAGTATGGAATTTTGCACATACAACCAAATTAGGCTTGAAAATAAGTACGACAAATTTGATCGAAATCGGTTCAGATATAGCTATAGCTCCCATATATATATTGTTCATCCGATTTGTTATTTTTGCCCTCCACAGCCGTAATATGCACTCTGTAACAACAATATTTGGGGGAATATATCAAATGCAGCTCAGAAATACATTTGCTAAATTTTATCGAGATCGGTTCAGATTTGGATATAGCTCCCATATATAATTTCGTCCGATTTACCTTTTATTGTGCACCAAACGTCTATATTTGCCCAAATGGGATGAAATTTGGCACTTAAGACCGAATTGAGTCTAGAAGCTAGTATGTCAAATTTGTTGAAGATCGGTTCAGATATAGCTATAGCTCACATATATATTGTTCATCCGATTTGTTGTATTTGTTACCCACAGCCGTAATATGCACTCCGTAACAACGATATTCAGGGAAATATATCAAATACAGCTCAGAAATATTTTTGCCAAATTTTATCGAGATCGGTTCACATTTGGATATAGCTCCCATATATATCTTTATCCGATTTCAAATTAATTGTGCACCAAATGGGCAATACAAGTCCGAATTTAAAAGACAAATGCTCCGGCATATTTAGTCCTTTGAATTTTAAATTATAATTATAATCATAGGGTGTATGATTGAATTCTCACATAAAAATTTTAATTGTTATGTGGAGCTCAACTAAGTTAGTAAAGTGGTGTAGGGTATCATAAAATCGGCCCCGCCCGACTTTAAGACTTTCTTTACTGTTTTTTTTTTGTTTTTTTTTTTTTTAAAGTGCTTCATTAGTTATAAGACATTCCAACAAATTTCAAAGCAACTACAATTTAGATAGAACCCTCTATCAAATGACCTTGTTTTTTCGTCTTTCTTTTCCGATAACTGATCACGACGATGATTTACAATGATTCGCATAATTCGTAATCGATTTGGTTTTAACAATGTTTTTTGACCAAGTCATGGTCTATGCATGGGAATTTCGCTATATCTCTGTTATCAATATCAACAACGCCGCCGCCACCTCCAACCACCTCCAACCACTTCGATACGTCAGAATATCATATCAACTGCCAGATTAGATGTTCTCCATTCACAAAACAAGTTGGATAGGTCGGTGGAAAAAAACATATCCTGATATAAATGACCACGAGACTTTTAAAGTGATTGACTTTATCCGCGATCATAAGACCCTTCAGAAGGGGTACGCCATTTGACGGCAAATCTATGCCGGTAATCAGAAAAAAAAATATTACAAGCTTAAGTGGGAAATATCGCTTCACCCACGAATACGTCCTAATGTCTGGGTTTTAATTATGTTTTTGTTTTTATTTTTATTTTTTTTTTTCTTAGGTTTGTTGGTACTAACATTTGTTGTCATTGTTCTTATTGTTCTTATTTTTTGTTGTTGTTATTGCCATTTGTAATGATTTTCATTTGCGATCATTTGTTGTTGCTTTTCATTACTTCAGTCAGTCGGCTAATATCACCATTTGACGCCAGCAGCGCCAATACCTTCTGCTGCCGCCGCTGCCACTGTCGTCAGTGATGGTGTTTCAACCGTCCGTCAGTACTTCTCGTTCAAAGTCTTGGCCAAGTTTTCAAGCTCTGAGTCGTTCTCGTGTACTCGACGTGTTCGGTACATTGTTGGCATTGTTGTGGGAAATTAAAACTGACATTTTCAAATCGAAACAAACAGAAATAACAAAAAAATCGATCGAAATAATTAATTCCTGGCTAAATGCGCCCGTAAAGCTATTGTTTAAATAATTAACTGTATTGAAACAAATCTCACAGTGTCTATGTGTATGTGTGTGTGCGCAACATTCTCGGATGTAAAAAAATGTAATTACTTGTTTTTTATGTTTTATTGTTTTTTTTTTTTTTCTATATTTCATTATTCAATTAGTTGATGTTCAATGATCTCTGGTAATTATCAAAACCGACAAAATCAAAAATAATTGAAACCTAGAACTAAAATGTGAACAAATGAACTAAAAAAACTATAAACAATAAAATGAACTTTTGAAAGAAAATAATTTAAATTATATGTTTTATATATTTTAAATAAAATTTTTGAAAATTCGTACTAAAAGGGTACGAAGAGCACTAAAAAGTGTACTAACAATTGAATACAATGTATTGAACAACAGGAATGAGCTACAATTTAGAAATTTGGAATGAGTGATAAGGATAAGTAAATCAAAGGGTTTTTCGAAACTCGAACTTTAAGGTTACGAAAAGTTCTAAAATGGTACTAAACTTCAAAAATAGTACCATTTGGTATTATGTGAACGGATAGAGCTTGAAATTTGGTATGAGATTTAAAAGTTTTATACATGAAATATGGATAATAAGTTCGATACTTGAAAGTGGAAATGTGTACTAAGTGTGCGAACTGTACTAAATGGTACTAAATTTGGTTTATTGTGAACGAATGAACCTGCAGTTTTAGCATTTTATATTGGGATCCCTTTTGGTGGTAGGTTTGTGATAAAGATTTGGTTTTAGAAAAGAGGTGCAACAAGTGCACGAAAAGTACTAAATAGTACAAAAAGTACTGATATTGAGTGAACAGATAGTGCTTGAAATCTGAAATTTTATATTAAGGTCGCTGCTCCAGTGTAGCCTGGATATATGGAGGTGGTTTCGGAATGTGTCCTATAATTGTATAAAAAGTAGTAAATGGTACTAAATTTGGTATTCGAGGAAGGAATAGAACTGGAAACCTCAAATTTAATATTGAGGTCCCTGTTGGTATCTGGAATTGAAATATGGAGGTGGTTTTGGATATGTACCAAAATAACTAAATAATAGAAAATGTGGTACTGGGTACGGAGATGTAATTCTGAAATTTTATATTTAGAAAACTTTGGTATCTGATCTCTGATATTTGTAGGTGGGTTTGGAAATGTGCACTATAATTGTACGAAAAGTCCTAAATGATACTAAATTTGGTATTGGGTGAGGGAATAGAGCCGAAATCCTCAAATTTTATTATAGATGTCACTGTTGGTGTTCGTGGATAAGATATAGAGGTGGCTTTGTACTAAATAGTACTAAATTTGGCACAAATCGGTATAGGGTGCTTGAAATTTGGTATTAGGGTTGAGGTTCATTTGTAGCCTGGGCATATGGAGGTGGTTTCGGAAATGTGTACTATAATTGTACGAAAAGTACGAAATAAATTTTGCTTTTGGGTGAGGGAATAGAGGAGATACAATTCTAAAATTTGATCTTTAGATTACCAATCGTATCTGTGTTTGATATTTGGCGGTAGTTTGGAAAACGAAAAGTATCAAATGGTACTACATTTTGTTATTGGGAGAAGTGGTACCGTTGGAATCCTCAAATTTCATATTGAGGTCCCTTTTGTATCTGGAATTGAGATATGGAAGTGGTTTTGGAAATGTGTACTATAATTGTACGAAAAACACTAAATTTTCCTACATTTGGTATTAGGTGAAGGGTTAGAGATAAACTTCAGAAATTTGATATTTAGATAACTGTTGGTATTTGGTGTTGAGATTTGAAGGTGGATTGGGAAATGCGTACTATAATTGCTTAAAAAGATACTAAGCGGTATTAAAATGGGCATTGAGGGAAGGAATAGAGCTGGAATCATCAAATTTGATATTTATATAACTGCTGGTATCTGAGGTTGAGATTTGAGGGTGGGTTTATAAATGCTTCCCATATAGAACTAAAGGGTACTAAATTTGGTATTAGGTGGGGGATAGAAATTGTAACTAAAATTATGCGAAATGTACTAAATATTTCTAATTTGGTATTGAGTGAAGGAATAGAGCTGAAATCCTCAAATTTGATATTGGTATCCACAATAGAGGTTTGGAGATGCTTTAAGAAAAGTATAGTGCACATTTCACTAAAAGTACAAAATATTACCAAACTTAGTATTGGATGAAGGGATAGAGATACAATTCTGAAATTTGATATGGATGTCATTGTTGGTGTTTACGGATGGGAGAAGGAGCTGGTTATGAATATGCGTACTATATTTGCACTAAATTGTTCTAAATATGGCAATGGGCAAAATTGAAGGCCTGAAATCCTGAATTTTGATATTAAGGTCACTGTTGGTATCCGAGGTTAGGATATGGAGATTGTTTTAAAAATGAATACTACAATTATTCGAAAAGTACTAAATACTACTCAATTTGGTATTGAGTGAATGCCTAGACCTGTAATCCCGAAATTTCCGTTGGTCTCTGTTGGTATAATTATTCAAAAAGTAGTAAGTAGTACAAATTTTGGATCACTTTTGGTGTCTAAGATAGAGAAATTGAAATTGCACTAAGTGCTACTAAATTTGGTATTGGGTCAGGGAATAGAGCGGAAATCCTAAAATTTGATATGGAGGTGTAGGTTTTCAGAGTATATATATGAAGACTTTGAGATAGTTGTGGACAGAAAAATTGGATGCGAGTTTTTTATCCTCCTCGGTAATCTTAAAAATTATACATTTGATATATTCTACGTCAAATTTTCCTACAGATCTCAGGATGAACTATAAATAAAATTATAATATTTTTAAAGAAAATTACATTCGAATAAAAGCGGTTGGATTTTTGACCGTTTATTTTATACAGTTGTAATCTGAGCCAAAATGTCCATTAATATGTCCATTATACATCATTTTGTTTAAAAATGGCACAGGTCGGTCTATTTGTGGTATTGCAATTCATGTGATAGGGGTTGAGTTGGTGTCAAGTTAATCTGTAAAGGAATGTTTTAAATAAAATATATGTATTTTTATTTTTTTAATTAGTCAGTAATCACAACACATGCCTTAAAGCCATTGATCCAAAGATACAGGTTCATTAAAACGTAAACAGATTTCCGAAGGGGGGAATTCCTTTTTTATTTACGACTCATTTAAATAATTCAATTAGGTAATTGTGTTAGGAAAGTTAAATGCTTCACTATTTTTTTGAATCTTCTATCTGTTTAAATTTTAGGGCAGTAAAAAAAAAATAAAATGTTTTTTCTTCGTGAAAGAAATTCTAAATCTGTCCTCAATGCACGAAAAATTCAAGGTAGGGGAATTTGATAAATACAATTCTGAAGTAGAAATGTTTTGAAAAAGTGCTGTATTTTAATACCACATACACAGAATATCATCCTTACAGTCCAGGGGCTGGATTCTTGTTCTATGAAAATATGAAATGAAAAATATTTCCCTTATAAAAGTTTTCATTTCACATTTTCATAGAACAAGAATTAAGGCCCAGCATTTTTCGAGAAAAGTAAATACTAAAAATTTTTGGAACACTACAATATTTCTGGAGAAAAACCAATGGAAACCAAAAATTTATTATTTTTGGTTTCCATTAGTTTTTCTCCTGCTGCTGTAAAAATTAGAATTTTTAAAATTAATATATAATTTTATTATTATTTTTTGCAATTGTTAAAATAATTTGTCTCTGGAGAGGGAGTACATGTCATATTCGATCCAAATTTAGTTCTTCATAATATTTTTACAAAACTTATATCGTGTTCGGACTCACTACCACTACTACTTCACTCTATATGATATATGTGATAACTTTTAGAAACCGTTGGACCGTTGTACTCCACTTATCTTATATTTATTAAAATATTGGAATGTGCAAAATTTAAAGAAAATAAAACATTTATTTGCGATTTAATGCGAATAATTGAAAATCAAATTGAGATGTGTGGAATTTGAAAAGAATCTAACGCTATTTTTCGCATTTAATGGGGGTTTTGTTATTCAAAAATGTGACCGCTTTGTGGGGGAGGTACCAGAAGGAGTGGATCGATATCTACCATCTTCACGCCAGATCTTTTGCTGGCAAAAATATTCCGATGTGTGAATTTTGAAAAGAACCGGATGCTAATTTCGTATTTTATGACGGATATAATTATTTAAAGTTCTGACCCTTTGTGTGGGAGGTACCAGAAGAAGTAGCCCTACACATTCAGTCTTCCCACTTGGTCTGGTGTAAATAGAAATATTGGGGTGTGCCTAGTTTGAAAATAATCGGATGCTCATTTCACGTTTTATGAGCTTCATGGTTATTCAAAATGTTGAACCATTTGTGGGGGAGGTACCAGAAGGAGTGGGCCGATATATCCCATCTTCACACCAGATCTTGGATTTATAAAAATATTGTGATGTGTGTAATTTGAAGACAATCGGACTATTACATTACATTTTATGAGAGTTATAATAATTCAAAATTTTTACCCTTTGTGGGGTACCAGAAGATGTCGGCCGATATCTACCATTTTAATTTAAGATCTTGAGTTTGTAGAAACATTGAGATGTGCAAAATTTGAAAACAAACGGATGCTTATTTCGAGTAATATAAGAGTTATAATTACTCAAAATTTTGACCTTTAGTGGGGGAGGTACCAGAAGGATTAATGCGACATATTCCATATTCACAGCTGATCTTGTGTTGGTAGAAATATTGAGATTTGTCGAGTTTGAAAGGGATCGGATGCTCATTTCGCTTTTTAGGAGCTTCATGGATATTCAACATTTTGACTCGTTGTGTGGGAGGTACCAGAAGGATAGATCCGATATATTCCATCTTCACAGTGAAATATGAAGAGAACCGGATGTTTATTTCAGGTTTCATAATCGTCTTGCTTATTCAAAATTTTGACCCTTTGTGTGAGAGGTACCAGAAGAAATGGTCCGATCTTTACCAACTTTATAACAGATATTGAGTTGATATATTGATATGTTCGAAGTCTGAATGGAATCGGATGTTATTTTCGCGTTTTATGAACTTCAGGGATATTACAACTTTTGACCCTTTGCGGGGGAGACGTACCAGAAGGATTGAACCGAT